TTTTTTTTTTTTTTTTTTTTTTTGAACTGGAGTGGATTTCTCTCTTCCATCCTCTCCCTTTTTTTTTCCCTTTTTTTTTTCTTCTTTTTCCCTCCCCTCCATTTTATCCTTGTGTACGATGGTCCAGTTTTCCTGACCAGTCCATGTTCCACACATGGTCCAGTTTTCCTGACCAGTGCATGTTCCACACATGGTCCTGACCAGTGCATGTTCCACCTGGTCCAGTTTTCCTGACCAGTGCATGTTCCACCTGGTCCAGTTTTCCTGACCAGTGCATGTTCCACATGGTCCAGATGGTCCAGTTTTCCTGACCAATGCATGGTCCAGACTCCGTTCGTTCTCTCGATCCTTCTCGTTTTTTGGCCGTTGTATTGTCGCTGGATTAGATTTAAAGATTTCGATTTTTTGGCAAACATCCTCTCTGGGTTGTGACCTTTTGAGTAGCCATAAAATCTTTGTGACCGTTGATTGCCTAATCCCAAAGACTCCTGTTCCCTCCCTTTCTGGTCATCGTCTTCATTCCCTTAGTTCATCCAGTTCCTTTTCACCTCCACCGTTGATCACTAATCCCTTCTTTGAAGTTCTTTGGCGGTGCTGAAACGATCAGTCTCCTCTCTCTCTCTCTCTCTCTCTCTCTCTCTCTCTCTCTCTGTGTGTGTGTGAGTGTGTGTGTGTGAGGAGATTGAATTACTTAAGGTATACCATCAACAAGCTTTGTTAGAAGACGCAGAGAAAGGAGAGCCATTCCGTGGTGCTACACCATTACGTCACGTTCCGTTACGTTACGTTCCGTTATCATGGATACCGCCGCTGTCGTCAATGTATTTGAATCGTTCTGGGAGAACCTGGACCGTTTAATTGTCCTTATTCCTAGCTTGATAGTAATGATATTCGTGTCTTATCTTCTCGTGTTCGCATTTCACACTTGCAATCTGGTGTTCCTAAGTTATAAGAGCAAGGGGGCCCAGCGCCGCAGCTGCCAATTGGAGGAGCCACGAGGAGGAGTAGGAGGAGGAGGGGGAGGAAAAAGAGGAGGAGGAGAAGGAGTGGGGCAAAACGACGAAATGACCAAAGGAGAGGTTGAAGATCGCCACCGGGATTGCCAGCAGTCTACAAGCGAGTTGATGGGTCAGCTGCAGCAGGAGGATGAACTGCCGCCACGTGGCGCCTCCTCCTCCGACGATGCCGTCGATGTCATCGTCGTTGGCGCTGGCGTTGCCGGCTCTGCCTTAGCGTTCACACTTGGCAAGCAAGGTCGACGCGTGCTTCTGCTGGAAAGAGACTTGTCAGAACCAGATAGAATAGTCGGGGAACTGCTTCAGCCTGGAGGCTACCTGAAGCTGAAAGAACTGGGCATGGAGGACTGCGTGGACGGGATCGATTCCCAAATGGTGTATGGGTATGCGCTCCTCAAAGACGGCCGTGAAGCTAAAGTAGGGTACCCTCTGCCAAGAGAGACTTATGGGAAAGACGTTGCGGGTAGGAGCTTCCATCACGGGCGGTTCATTCAGAAATTACGCGCGAAGGCCGCGTGTGTGCCGTTAGTCACCGTTAAGGAAGCCACCGTTACCTCGCTGATCGAGGACGAAGGGGGTGCTGTGAGGGGCGTGAAATTCCGCACTGGCAGGGCCGCCTCCTCTTCGGCCCAGGAAGAGGAGGCCCTCGCCCCCCTCACCGTCATTTGCGATGGGTGTTTTTCTAGGTTCCGTAAGACCTTGTCCAGTGGCAAGGTCGACAGCACCTCCTGCTTTGTGGGGATGGTACTGCAAAACTGCGACTTGCCGGTCCCGAACTATGGTCACGTGGTCATTGCGAATCCGTCTCCGATTCTGTTTTATCCCATCAGCAGCACGGAGGTGAGATGTTTGGTTGATGTCCCGGGTACCAAAGTCCCATCCATCCACACTGGGGAAATGGCAGAGCACCTGAAGACCCAAGTTCTCCCTCAGCTACCTGCCAAGCTTGCGAAACCCTTCTTGGAGGCCGTCGAAAGGGGTCATATTAGATCTATGCCGAATAGCACCTTACCGGCTGCGCCTTTGCCCCGGGCCGGTGTCCTTCTGATGGGGGACGCATTTAATATGAGACACCCCTTGACTGGGGGTGGGATGACGGTGGCGCTGTCCGATATAGCCCTCCTTAGAGATATGCTGAGGCCTCTGCCGACGTTCGGCGACGTGTCTGCGATCACCGACTATTTGCAAGCCTTCTATACGAGAAGGAAACCCATGGCGGCCACCATCAACACCTTGGCCTTGGCTCTGTACAAAGTATTCTGCGCGTCGCAGGATGCCGCCATGCTCCAGATGAGAGAAGCCTGCTTCGACTACCTGAGCTTGGGAGGGGTTTTCTCTGCAGGTCCTGTCGCCCTGCTCTCGGGACTGAACCCGCGGCCGCTAAGCTTGGTCTTTCACTTCTTTGCAGTGGCACTGTATGGTGTTGGGCGCCTTTGCTTCCCTCTCCCGTCCATTCACCGCCTCGGGATAGGCATGCGATTGATCAAAGGAGCCTCTAACATCATATTACCCATCATCAAGGCTGAAGGCGTGAGGCAGATGTTTTTCCCAACCACGCTGCCTGCGTACTACAAGGAACCTCCCTCCCCCTGATTTGACTGTTACACAGAGAGAGAGAGGCAGAGAAGGGGTGGGGGGGGGTGGTGGTGAGGCAGCGGGGGGAGAACCAAAAGAAAAATAGAGGACATGTGTGTGTGTGTGTGTGGGTGTGTGGGTGTGTGTGGGTGTGTGTGTGTGTGTGTGTGAGAGAGAGAGAGAGAGAGAGAGAGAGGGCCAGCGGGTGGGGAACCAAAAGAAAAAATAGAGGAAGCGATGTTTGTGTGTGCGTAAGAGAGAGAGAGAGAGAGAGAGAGAGAGAGAGGGCCAGGGGGTG